GTTACACATCCACAATTTTACATAATGCCCAATTAGTAATTGGATGATTTTGGACTGAAACTTCCAAATAGTGAGCTAGAAGAAACGCTTTCTCTTTAAAAGTTGATTATCCCAGGTATCCCAGTTATCAAGATGGAAAGCTGACTCTCACACCTAGTATCTCATGCAAAGTGAGGTCACCTGGCATATCTTCCCTTAAGATTGCTTTCTTATCACAAAACAGAAGAGTTTATCTACAGTGGATCAGATAAAAAGCCCGAGGAATTCTGCACCCTATAAAGAGGATTAGTCAAAGGAAGTAGGACAGAGGGAGGCTATTTAAATCCTATTTACACCCTCACAAGATGTTTGCAAATTGTTCTGCTTTCCTAAGGGGGCATGCCAGTGTGGATGACAGCTTTCAAATCAGTGACAGAGAAAGGGTAGCCTTTTATTTCTGGAACTTCCTGTTATTCAGAACATCTATTCATGTGTTTTCTAGATGCTGAGGTTTTTTTCCCCCTCTTCCTTATTTATCATGAAGTAATTTGCTATTTTATAATAACAGAGGGCTTTGGAACATTTTAAAGAATTTATTCTCATTTTTGATCTCAATAAATAAGCTACTTTCAATGACAACATTGTCAACACAATAAATTTAGTTCTCCTCATGGTCTACATTCTAAAACCATGGTTATTTTAGAAAGTATAAAGTTAGCTTGGCATGGAAGGTTTTCTCTTTGTAATTTTAATCCTACTGTTTTCCTCATTTTATCTTCTGTCATTTCCTACCACTCACTCTGCCAATCCAGTCCAATCCAAGTCCTGGTAGCTTTTGGCACACCAGCTTGAACACCAAGAAAGTCCCTTCCTGTTTTCTCCACTGCCAGATCCCAAGACATAGCCAAGTCAGATCCCAATTTGAACCTTTCTTCTTAATAACCTGGAGATTACTCTTTCCCTCCCCCCTCTTCCAGTATGTGTACCATTCTCTTGGACTAGATACTTATTATTATCATTATTATTGTTTGGCACTGGGGATTTACTCAGAGGCACTCAACCACTGTGGCACATCCCCAGCCCTATTTTGTTTAGAGACAGGGTCCCACTGAGTGGCTTAGCACCTTGCTGTTGCTGAGGCTGGCTTTGAACCCGAAATCCTCCTCCTCAGCCTCCTGAGTTGCTGGGATTACAGGTGTGTGCCACATGCCCAGTGTGGACTTGGCATTTATTACCTTGCATTGTATCCTTAACTTTCTGTGTCTAAAGCTCTGATAGCTCTAACTGAATTGTAGATTCTTGAAGACAAAGCCAGTTTTAAAACTCTGGGTCTCCCGCAGTGCTTAGTACAGTGACTTATTTATACACACACAGAAACACAATTACTGAAATTTAAGGTGGATTATATTAATATGACATTACCAATATTTATATTAGTAATTAAACAAGTTACAGGACTGTTTCCCCAAATCATGCCATGCATGATAATAAGGTCAAATTGTAATTTCAATTTGAAATTTGAAACTCCTTTGTATCTAGGATTTTGGGGCTAGCTGCTTCCAAGGACAGAATGGAGAATTTACCTATTACCCAATGAGAAATTTTAATGCATTTTATTTCTTACTTTGGATACAGAATTGGGTCTGGTCTGGAGGGAGTAGTTAATGATTAGATTTGGCTATATGTCTAACTCTAAAAAGTTGGTCTTAAAAAACTATAAAAATTCTTTAATATAAAAGCTACACCATATTGATACAATAGATATAATTTTGATATCCACCTTGATTTCAAGGCACTTCAAAGGACTACCTTTCTTTCCTTTTCCAGGTCTCTAAAGAAAAAAATTATCCCTATGATACTATGAATTACCAAAAATATTAAAGTCAGCAGAAAGAATTAAAATTCTCAACTGGGTGTGGTTTGGTGTGGTGTGGTGTGATGGCGCATGCATGGAATCCCAGTGGCTCGGGAAGCTGAGGCAGGAGGATTACGAGTTTAAAGCCAACCTCAGCAACTTAGTAGACTGTCTCAAAATAGAAAATAAAAAGGGCTGGAGATGTGGCTCAGTGGTTAAGCACCCCTGGGTTCAATCCCTAGTACAAAAAAAAATAATAATTCTTTACCATTAGTTCCTTAATAATGCGATACAAGATGAACTTTTTCTTTTTCTTTTTTTTTTCTTAGTGAGGAAGAATTAGAAATCACAACTTGTTGTATAATTACAAAACGAGGTTTTACTTTGCTCCTAATATTCATTCATACACTTTGAAAAAGGCTGGAATGTTATAAATGGAGACTTCTTCAAACACTAAGTTTTACCTGAAAAGTGCAATAGACTTCACCTTTGGAAATAAAAATTTCTTTAAATTTAATGACCATGAGAAATTAAAGAATTTATAACTATCAGAAACTTAGGCATTCAAAATCTATTATTAAATAATGAGATATTTAACCTTTGCCATTAGTGTTACTTACTAAAATAAAATACAATTACTATGTTGCTTAAATAATTTACATTGATCTCTTTTAGTCACACAAACATTGATGTTTTTAAAAAGGACTCTTTTTAATGTAATTGATAATTTTTTAATTAAAAGTTTTAATTGACATATGAGTCTGCTAAATTACCTTCAGAATCAGTGTCTGCTTTGATAACTATGACCACCCTATCAGGTAGTCCTGGAAGATTTAGGAGGTGAAGAAAATGAGCTTCCATATAGCCTGGGGTTGCTCTACTCGGTGCTGCTGACATTTGGAGTTGGATAATTGTGGGGGGCTGCCCTGTACATTGCAGAATGGATGTTCTGGGACTCTATCCACTAGATGCTAGTTGCACCTCCCAACTTCAGTTGTGACAAACACAAATGTCTCAAGACATTGCTAAGTGTCTTTTAAGGGGCAAAATCTCTCCCAGTCAAGAATTGCTCTTATAACCCTGAGGTCACACCGGAGCTAGGGGGAAAACCTGGATCTTCCAGCTTCACAGAACAGAACTTCCAGACTTTCAATCTTCCTGCCTCTGCCTTGTGTATTTTGCCTTCACAGAGGACCTCCAAGCTGACAAGAGAATCTCCCAGCCCCAGTCCATAACTACCTGTTCTTTTTAATGTATGATCATCTGCATGAACAAAAAAGTTATTTAGGTGGTCTCCTTCCTAGACCACCTAAATAACTCTTTCCTATCTTATTTCCTATAATTCATCTGCAGAATTTTTATATAAATAGTTTAATGGAAACTTAAAAAGAAGTCCACATACCGCTTTATGAAGTTAGCAAAAAGTATCCTATGTGAGTATCCCAGTCTTCGGATTCTTGCTGTTTCCAGAATTCCTGTGTAGCGAAGCTGTAGCAGAACCTTCTCTTTGTCATATTTTCTTGCCTGCCGCTCATTATTTGGTTTGATGCAACGGACAAAATGAGGCTGGCCCACCACCATTTTAGATAACAAATCCATCAGGGAATACTGCAATATACAACAGAAGTAAAATTCCCAGTTTTAGCACACAAAAACATATGAGTTTGCAGTTCTTTCTTTTTACTACAAGGATAAAATTTGAAAAATGAACATTCTAAATGCCATGCTAATCACAGCAAGTAGAAAGATGTGACTTAAGGAAAATTACAAATTTACTTATAAAAAATAAAGGAAATAACTAGTTACTTGGTTATTAAAAAGTTTGCCTATAAACTCTTAAAGTAACTTTAATTAGTAGATGAAATTATTTTTGATACAGTTAATATGGAATTACATGCTCTCAAACAAACTTGCCAAATTACAATACTTAGATACATAATCTGGTTATTCCAGCTAATATGCTAATTTTGTTGTACAATTCTCTCTGTACAGAAAATATAAAAGTATAAAATATTAAAAGATAAAAATAAAAAAACAGAAAAGATAGACAATTTAATCCCTGTCAAAATTCTCTCCTATCTTAAAATAAGGACGGAGAAGTTAAAGTAGTTTAATGTTTAGGGCATAGTATAAAAATAAGCACACTGATAACTACTTAAAAGTTCTAGTCAGCACCTGTTTGTTTATTTTCTTATTTCTTTTATATTTTTACTAATATCAATATTAAAGTTGTGCTACGCACCAATGCCTTATTAAAACAGTCAATCTCTGGAAACTTAATAACATATTATTTAGATTTTGCTAAAAGCAGAATCTCAGCAAACTAGTGTCTCAAGGACCGGGACAATAATTTATTGGTAAGTTGAAGTAAACACAGATAACTGTTGACCACTAGATCTCTTTTAGTATTGGAGATATAAAAGCCCGTAGTCACAAAGCTAGTGCAAAGCAAACACTGAAATTGAACAGCTGACAAGCATTGAATTTGTATGCCTCCCTCTTGGGTACTGAGACTCAGATGTGATCTTTCCAAACAGCTGGGTCTCCCTTTCATTACATTTATCTGTGAGTCATCATTCCTTTAGTCACACAAACATCTGCCAGGTGCTGGTGATCCAAAGGTGGTACATGTCTATTGTCTTTCTGAGCAGCAGCTTTTTGCAATTTAAGCACTGGTTTTTCATAGGGGCTAAGGCACAGTGTTACATTATGTTCATTCTTGTTTGCAGAATGAAAAATAGCTTTAAAAACACATTACATGCTGTGTGGAATTATCTTCCATAGTTTTCCACATTGGCCTGAAAATTAAAATAACTTCATGAACTAATCTGGCTTAAACACATAGTGTTTGATGCCAACAACAGAAGTAATGATAATGGTCTAGATAACTCAGTTAATGGAAAGAAAATAATCTGGCCATAACACTTCCAGTGATTTACCTGTGCTGCCTTCCTGATGTAAAGAGAAGGTATCAGCAGCCAGTAAAGATGTTAAGCATATAAATGTCCCAGGCACCACTGAAGGATGATTAAACAAACACAGGCTGTCTGCTATGAGCTTAGGGCTTGAAGAAGATTCACGAAAAGTATTCAGACAGCTTATAAAGTATTTCATGATTCTCTTAGAGAACTGGACATATTCACTGAACACTTGTAGTAGATTTAATCTGATTTCCTCTATCTCCCCCACCACATTAAATTATACTAAAAATCCCAAGGTTTTGGTGGCATTATCTTTATTTTCATTGTCTGGCAAATCTATTTTATCAGAAAATGCTAAAGAAATAACCAGAACCAAAATAAATGAATAAATAATGGGTTCTCTAAAGCACAGAGAAAATAAAAGTGTTTCTTTCTTTTTCCTTCTCTCATATTGCCCAAGGAAGGAAGTTCACTTTGGTCCTGTGCTTAGCAACTCCTCTGGCAGATCACTGTGTCTTAGATGACTCTTGTCCCTGCCCTTCCTTACACTGGGTTCTGTTTGCCTGCTGAGAGTGTCAGGTATGTGCATGAAGATATCGACTGGAGATGGATGCTCAACCTTGCCCCCATCCTAAGATAATTCATGAGGGGAAGGAGAACTGGTATCATAACATTGGTTTTTATACAGTGGAAATGCACTGGGTTCCTTTGGAAAATTTTAATCAAGGTATAGACTTCCATTGAGATTGTCATGACACACTGTATCTTTACAGACAAAATACTGAAGTAAATAAAGCCACAGTTATTTTTTTAAATGATAATATTTATTAGAAACATTTTTGAGGAGATAGTAGGCAGTGAATCCAGGGCTGCTCACCCATTGAGCCACATTCTCAGCCCTTTTTTTGTATTTTATTTAGAGACAGAGTCTACACTGAGTTACTTAGGGCCTTGCTAATTTGCTGAGGCTGGCTTTGAACTTTCGATCCTCCTGTCTCAGCCTCCCAAGCCATGGGGATTGCAGGTATGCACCCGACAAGCCATTAGTTTTTGATGGTACATTCTAACATATCCTGTACCCAACATATCCTGTAGTAAATGGAATACAATAAACATTCTCTTCTTGCTCAAAGCACTCAGATATTTGTTATCAGTTTTTGATCTGTAACTCATTTAGAATTATACCTGTATTATGGTTTGGCTATGAGATGCAATCCCTCAAAAGCTCCTGTGTTAATGAAAGAGGTGAAATGAGTAGACTGTTAAGAGCTGCTACCTCATCAGTTCTTCCTAGTTTGAATGAACTAAATGGGTGATAACTGCAGGCGGGGACAGTATGGCTGGAGGAAGTGAGTCCCAGGGGGCATGCCCTGGAAAGGTGCATATTCTCTGGAGTCTCCTCCCCTTTTCTCTTCTTCCTGGCTTCCATGTCCTGAGCTGCTTTGCTCTGCTACCTTCTTCTGTCATGATGTTTGGCCTCACCTCAGACCCAAAGCAATGAAGTTGACCTACCGTGGACTGAACCTCTGAAAATGATAGCCCCAAATGAGCTTTTCCTCCTCTAAGCTGACAATTTGGTCATAGCATTGAAAAGCTGACTAACACAACCGCAAAGTACAACACACTGCAATTTAATAGCTTACTCGAAAATACGATGCAACTGTTTGTGTTTTCATGTTGGTTGTTTCACAGGCATGAGGTGTGGCTTCTCCAGTTTCACCCTAAGAAGATTAAGAAAGACAGTGAGGTTTCAGGACCCTGTGGCATTTTCCTTGCAGGTTATCTTAGTCTATGTATCTAAATACATAAAACCACAAAAAGTTGACATTCATACTTTCAGGTAATCGTCTTGTTAACTGCACTGGCATTTTGATTAGTCTTGTGCACAATGTGAATATTATTGACCCTAGTTGATGCAAACATTTTTAGATGGTCTCCATAGAACATTTAAAATTACCTATAAAAGGAGAGTAGGAATGTACCAGAAATATAAGATTATTTTAGCCATTAGTTGTAAAAAGAAAAACTAAGGAAAAACTGTATTTTGAGGAGCACCCAACTATTGCCAAAGGTTAGATTCTAGAATCACTATCAAAAAAACAAAATGCATTTCCTTACCTTTGTCAGGTTAACTGATTTTTCTGAAGTCCTCATTTTATAGTTTATTATATTTTTAGTTTTAGAGAGTGGCAGGTTACCTGTGGGAATGTAGATAAAGTAAAATTTATCTTTTAGAATCCTTAATGGCTAGATGATTTTTCCCATTTAGTTAAAATAAGCATGCTGGTCCTGCAATATTTAGATTCAGATGCTTGGTTAACTATTTATTGAGAAAAAGACAAAATAATGTTATACGAAAATCTATAACGAATCTTATATTCAAGAAAAAAAACAAATATAAAAAAAAATACCAAACCCTTCAACTTGGAAAAGAGAAGAAATAGAGGTATTGGATTCGATTTTCAATTGCAAGAACACATGAGGGGCTTATGATAGGGGGAGCAAGTTGCTTCGTGTGTGTGTGTGTGTGTGTGTGTGTGTGTGTGTGTGTGTGTGAAGTGGCATCTGAGATTTTAATTTGGGTCAAGCTCTACAAAAGTCTTCAAAATAATATGGGTCATTAATTCAGTAAGGTGATATGAGTGAATCAAGTACAGTTGAGAGCAATGTCCATTTTCAATCTAAAATTTTGGCTCTTCATGCTAGAGGCTATACAAATGTACATAATCCAAAGCAGTGAAAATACTATGGTGTAGTGAAAAGATTATGGTTTGGAAACAGAAAGACCTGGGTGTGACTCCCAGCTGTAGTACTTAAGTTGTGTTGACACTGGGTCATTTACTCAGTCTCTGTAGTTTGAATCGATGCAATAGGGAAAATGATGACTGCAGAATTTCAATGAAACGTGATGATTTGACACACTGTGGGTCCCTGGGAATGCAGCTCATTGCTCTGCTCTCCCATCCTAGCCTCAAGCACAATAAACCAAACCAAGTCCCAATGCAAGAGTTTTATATTCCTAACAGTAATGTTCAAAACATCACCAGAATTCAGCATCACTTCAGAAAGATTATGTATCTTCTTACTCCTTTAAAGTACTAGAGACAGCGTTTTTTTTGTTTGTTTGTTTGTTTTTAAATCTTTCCCATTCATAGTTGCAAAGAGTTGGTCCTGAGAACATGGTGCAGGACGGAACCCTGCCTGAGATGTGCTGGCAGTGCCCCTGATCTGCTTTCTTACTGTTCCCAAACTGCACTCTGCTCTGCCCACTTTCCAGACAGAAAACATTTTTCTTTAAAATTTACTTTTACTTTTAATTTTTTTTCAGATGGGAAGCTGAACTGATTATAGCAAGGTGGACAAAGATAGTAACATTATCTTTAGAGAATTTTCCTTATTGTCCTTTTCTGGACAGGGAGTGGGTAATCAGAGAAAGTTTTAGGAAAAAACTCTTAGTGGAAAAAAAATTACCACAGATTTTGAGATTTCTTAGAAACATGATAAATATACAAGTTCTAGGAGCACATTAATTATCCTAGAACAACTACTTAATAGATACAAGTTACTTAATATTAACCAAATTATTTGAATTGTAAATTTATCTGAAAACTAAAAGACTAGAGAGAATTTGGTAAAGGATTAGTACTCTCCCTCAATTTATATATTATTCATCAACTTATTTAACAAGAAAATATATGAAAAGTCTTTTAGAAATTCATCTGTACAAAAAGAACAGGTGCTACAATTAGCTTATATCTCAATTTCAGAAAATACATCAGCTTTGCTTTCATTGTTTATCTGATGAACAAAACTGTGATAAGCCAAACAAGTAATGTAAGCAGCAAGTGCAATATCTCTCATGAATACAGATGCAAAACTTCTTAATGAAATGTTAACAAATTGAATCTAATGATACAAAAAAGTTCAGTCCATAATTAGCATATGAGGTTTTCCCAGGAATGGTTCAAATTCAGTGTCATTCACCTTATTAACATATGGAAAGAAAATAACGACCTCTTCGGTAGATGCAGAAAAAGCATTTTGATAAAATCCAACAAACATGTCTGATAAAAACTCAGCAAATTAGGAATAGAAAGTAATTTTCTTCTTATGATAAAAAGCATCTACAAAAAATCCATAGCTAATATCATACTTAATGGTGAAAGACTAAGATCAGGAAAAAGGCAAGAATACTCACTCTCAGTAGTTGTGATCCTAGTTGTGCAACTAAGGAAGAAGAAGGGATAAGAAGTGAACAAAAGAAAAAGTGACAGTCTTTGTAGATGACATGCTTGTCTATGGAGAAAATCAGAAGGATTATTTGTTTTTTGGTATTTAGTTTTTTGAGTTCTTTGTATATCTTGGAGATTAATGCTCTGAGGTGGGTGGTAAAGATTTTCTCCCATTCTGTGGGCTCTCTGTTCATGTTCTTGATGTTTCCTTTGCCATGAAGAAGCTTTTTAGTTTGATATCATCCCATTTATTGATTCTTAATTTTATTTCATGTGTTTTAGGATTTTATTGAGGAAGTCATTCATGAGCCAACATAATGGAGAGTTGGACCTACTTTTTCTTCTAGTAGGCCCAGGGTCTCTGGTCTAATGCCAAGGTCCTTGATCCACTTTGAGTTGAATTTTGTGCATGGTGAGACACTGGGGTTCAATTTCATTCTATTATATATGGATTTCCAGTTTTCCCAGTATCATTTGTTGAAAAGGCTATCTTTTCTCCAATGTATGTTTATGGCACCTTTGTTTAGTATGAGATAGTTACTGTATTGATGTAGTTATATCTCTGTGACTTCTATTCTATTCCATTGGTCTTCATTTCTATTTTTGTGCTAATACCATGCTGTTTTTTGTTACTATAGCTCTGTAGAATTATTTAAGGTCTGGTATTGTGATGCGTACCTGCCTCCTACATTAGCTTTCTCAATAAGGCTTACTTAAGCTATTCCACATCTCTTATTTTTCCAAATGAATTTTGAAGAAGAAATATGAATGGTCAAAAATATATGAAAAAAATGCTCAACATGTCTAGCAATTAGAGAAATACAAATTAAAACTACACTGAGATTCTGAGTCACTCCAGTCAGAATGGCAATTATCAAGAATACAAGTAACAATAAATGTTGGTGAGGATGTAGGAGAAATGGTTCCCTTAACATTGCTGGTGGCACTGCAAATTGGTGCAACCACTCTGGAAAGCAGTATGAAGAATCCTCAGAAAACATAGAAGGGAACTATCACTTGACCTGCTATCCCACTCCTTGGCTTATACCCAAAGGACTTAAAATCAACATATTACAGTGACCCAGCTACAATCAATATTTATAGCAGCTCAATTCACAATAGCCTAGCTATAGAACTAACCTTTAACAGATAAATGGATAAAGAAAATGTGGTATATAAACATGATGGAATATTATTCAGTCATAAAGAAGAACAAAATTATGGTATTTGCTGATAAATGGATGGAACCAGAGAATATCATGCTAAGTAAAATAAGCCAGTCCAAAAACAAACAAACAAACAAACAAAAACCCCAAAGGCTAAATGTTCTCTCTGATATGTGGATGTTAACCCAGAATAAGGCAGAGTACACAGGGGAAGTTCATTGGATTAGACAAAGGGGAATGAAGAGATGGGAGAGGGGATGGGAATTGGAAAGACAGTAGAATTATCTGGACATAACTTTCCTATGGTCAAATATGATACATGACCCGTATAACTACACATCAAGTTCAACCATAAGAATGGGATCAAAATTGCAATGGGTTGCATTGTATGTATGTATGGTATGTCAAAATACACCCTGCTGTCATGCATATATAAAAACAACAAAAAAGTAAAAAAGAAAGAAAGAAATTTAAAGCAAATACACACACAAAAAAAAAAAAGAAAAGAGAAAGAAAATAATAGGATGAAATTCACATGCACAATATACCCCTAAAATCGAAAATCAAAACCAGAAATGCTTTAACAAATGAGGTTTACAGGTGGCAGGGCAAAAAGATCAGTATATAAAAATCAACTGGATTTTTATAAAAAGAACAAACTATATGAATTAAAAACATATTTAAAATAGCATAAGAAATGTGAGACATTTGCAGATAATTCAGTAAAAAGTATAAGATTGTGGGCTGGGGACGTGGCTCAAGCCGTATCGCGCTTGCCTGGTATGCAAGCGGCCCTGGGTTCCATCCTCAGCACCACATACAAATAAAGATGTTGTGTCCGCTGAAAACTAAAAAATAAATATTAAAAAAATTCTCTCTCTCTCTCTCTCTCTCTCTCTCTCAAAAAAAAAAAAGTATAAGATTGTACTTGGACAAGTATAAAACAATGCCGAGAAATGAAGAAAAGCTTAAATAAATGGAAAGTAATACAGCACTCATTGACTGGAAGTTTTAAAACTGTGAAGATCTCAATTCTCTCAAAATTTATCTATAGCTTCAGTGCATCCCAATCAAAATCACACTAGATTTTTTTTTTTTTTTTGGTGGTGGTGCTGGGGATTGAATCCAGGACCTTGTGCATGTGAGGCAAATACTCTGCTAACTGAGCTGTATCCCCAGCCCCCACACCAGAATTTTTGGTTAAGATTGTCAAATTCATTTTTGGTTAAGATTGTCAAGATTTGTACGGAAAAGCAAACAAATCATTGTTACCTAAACTCTGAAAAAGAACAAGGCCATGTAACTAAACTGTCCTATTTCAAGACTTTCCATAAAGCTACAGTCATCAAGAAGTGAGGTATTGGTATAAAGACAAATACCAATGACATTCAGACAAGAAAGAGCCCAGAAATAGACTGTTATATATACTCATTTGAAAGGTGTCAAAGCAATTCAAGAGGGAGAAGAATAATTTGTTCAAGGAATGATGTTATAGCACTTGGAGAGAGGCAGGAAGGAGCAGAGGAAAGGGTTATAAAGGTCTATGCGGAAACATCACTTGTGACAGTTAACATTTTCCACTGGTAAACTTTGTCCCATTGTTCCAGACATAGCGCACCTGTCAAAACTTACATATAGTACATAATATACAATATAATCACTATATGTATAGTAATACTATATAAACTAATAATATATATAATAATACATAATGTTACTATATGTAGTACATATATAGTAATACTATATATATGTATGTATGTATGTATATGTATGAGCTTTAGATTATGATTTCCAATCTATTTAATGTACTTGTATCAATGTTGCTGAAATATTTGCAGAACTGAAAACTTGGGACTTAATGGGTTAATCATGGTGATACTTACATAAGTGTTTATATATGTAAAAACTCTATTTTACTAGCTAAGCATTTCTGTAATAACTTAATAAAACTATAAAAAATGCAGAAAATAATTTCAAACTCCACAAAGAAAAGCAACCCAAACTATATTTTTCCCATGTAAACACGAATGTAAGGATGTGTATGATTGGATGGAACAAAGTCATGTGAAGTTTTCATCAGTAAGAGGGTTCATTTGACTTGAAGAATCTCCAGGAACCATGTGAAAGTTGCCCTCTCCTGAAAATGGCAGGTAAATCTGAACTATTTTGAGGAGAGTAAACTTTTCTTGTGAGCAGATAGAATGCCACTGTATTTTCTGGTGAGTGCCTCAAACTTTTCTTTACTAAAAACCTGGATTCTTTATATTCATATTCATGTTTTCCTCAGAGGATTTGGGGCAGAAGATTTTAATAGATAAATATTTAGTGAGTTTGAAAAAAAAGCTACTGTTGAAATACAGTATATATGTATGTATATGTATGAGCTCTAGATTATGATTTCCAGCCTATTTAATGTACTTGTATTAATGTTGCTGAAATATTTGCAGAACTGAAAACTTGGGACTTAATGGGTTATTTCAACACAGAATCACTGCCACCTCATTCACAAGTTTTCCATGAATCCCAATCTTGCACTAAAGACAGTTTAGTAGCAAATGATGTTTAAGTAATAACAGCATGATTTAAAAAAATAAAAGTTCACATAATAGTTACAACCCTCTTTTTGCAAAAAAAATTGTGAAGATTATGAGGAAAAATACGGTAACATGCAAAATTGAGGATTAAAGTCTCAAAAATCACAGAGACAAAAACTACTTGGTGGGTTCTTGAGGAGCCCTCTCAGTTAAATGAAACTGCTCTTACCTGTTTTTGTGAGAGGGTGGTGAACTAGTTGCCGAATTACACTGTTTTCTGATGACCTCAAAAGTAGCACAATGTCAGTTGGCAGAGTGTCTCTATTTTTAGCTAAGAACCCACTTGCACTATAGAGGACCTGTGGATAAAGGGTGTTATTGCAATTATCACAATCAGTGTCACCGTCATTGTCATCACCATCAGTAAATATTTAAGCAGCTCACTCTGTTCTGAGCAGCAGGGATGCAAAGATTATATAAAGATAATCCCTTTACAATTTCATTGAAAAACAACCCTCACCAGGTTTATAGTGATCTAAGAGAAAAACCTGGGCTCACTGATTTTATGTGAGTTGAAATGACCAAAGAGGTTTGGTTCTTCCCATTATACTGGGAATTTGGTGCATTTCTTTTCTCTGGAGGGATGGGCACCCATAAAGGAAGCACACAGGCATTCCTGTTTACGATAATTGATCCACCTGTATTGAGTCAGTGGCCATGATAGATTTTTATCTTATGGGAGCGGAATCTAAACACACTGTGGCGTTTGTGCTCCTGGCACTTCTCAATAATGTTAAGACTTTCAAAAGGGGAATGGATTTCAGCAATCTCTGAAGGATAATTCACTCTGGTGGTTGTTATGAACTGAATTATGTCCCTCCATAATTCATATCTCCGCATGGGCACAGAGAAAAGGTCCTGTGAGGACACAGTGAGGTGGCATCTGTCTGCAGGCCAGGGAGAGGCCTCATCAGATGCTAACCTGCTAGGAGCACCCTGATCTTGAACTTGCAGTCTCCAGAACAGTAAGACAATAAATTTCTGTTGTTTCAGCCTCTCAGCCTGTGGTATTCTCGAATGCAGCCTGAACGGAATAATAGAGTGGTTAAAATATACTGGACAAAATGGTCATCGTCAATTCTTGATGGATGTTCATTTTTAAAAAGAGGTTTTACAAACAGAGATATGATAAATTGTTGTATAAAGGTGTATTAAGAATTGTATGCAAAAAAAATGAGAGAGCTCATGTATAATGGCATTATTTGGCATGAACATACTTTATATACAGAGTTATGAAAAATTATGCTGTGAATGGATAATTATGAATGTAATGCACTCCACTATTGTCATGTATGTCAGAAATAAATTTAAATATATATATATATATATATATACATATATATAATTGTGATGGTTCAAAGTTAAACGTTTTTAACAACAAAAGTCTGTGGAACGTTGACTAACGTGGAAATTGCTAAGTAGACTAGAATGGTAGTAGTTTTATGTTATTTAACTTTTCTAATACATCTCTCACTTTATACATTATTTCTTGATTTGAATATCTTCTCCGTCCTCCAATATGTATGACATAATTATCATGGCCCATTATTCTTCACAAAAGGGGTGAGGCATCTCTCGGTATAGGATCACACATCCGAACCTGGCTCTGGTGTGTGAATGAGTTTCTATCAATGCATGAATGGTGACTCTTCCACCAACTGCAAAATAGTCCATTAATCTATCTGGGCTATCTCAGCTATCTAGAGTATCTCCAACCCCGCACCTTCTCTTATTTAGAGGGAGGAAAGACAACAGCTGTAGTGGGGAGAGAAACATCTAAAGTCCGAAAAGGGCAGTTTCCATAAAAGATCCTCGACTTTCATTAAAAAAACAATAATAAATAAAAAGAAGGGGGAAGGTAACCATTACCAGCTAATCACCCACAGCAGATATTAAGACCAGGAAGATAAACTCAAAGAATTGTCTCTTTCTTTTTTTCCCTCTTTTCCCTCAGCTTCCTTATAAAAATTCCTCTATGAAAACTATAATATCAGAGAAGGTTTTTTTTGTTGTTGTTGTGTTTTTTCCCTTCAGTGGTAGTGGTCATGAATGGCTGGCAAAGTGGCAAAGATCAGGACAGATTATAGGAAGCAAGAGAGCAGCATTGGGGACAGACAGGGGCAGAAACAGCCACTTCATCATAACCACGTGCCAATATTTGGGGCCATAATTTTCATGTCCATTCTTATTATTTGATAAAAGGCTAAAGATAAACTCAGTCATAATTCTAAAGTGTCCTTACCTTTCCTGCATAATGGTGAATTCCAAAACTAAGTTCCATTCTTTTGGGTCTCCAGAAGTACTGTGATTTCAGGTTACCCTCAAATTTTTCTGTAGAAAAAGAATTGAACTCCAATGTCAGGCATGTAGAAAATCCTCAAAGAAAACTGAGAGTCCGAATCATTTATTTCACCACAATGTGCAGTGAACAAAGACAGAAGATTTTATATAGCTAATCCATGCAGATTTAGAATACAATTATAAGTAGTAAAGCAAAACTTACACTAATAAAGTTTTGCCACTGCATTATGATCTAGGGCAGTTTTTAAACTTTAGCACACAAATCAGAGTCACCTTGAAGGTCTATTGAAATACAGGCTGCTGTCCCCCATCCTCAGAGTTCCTGACTCAGTAGACTATCTTGGGAGGGAGCCAAGAATGCACATTTCTACTAAGCTCCCAGGTGCGGCTGATGTTCCTGGTCTGGGGACTACTTTTTGAGAACTTCTGGTCCAGAGGAAGGGAACTACTTGAGACTGGCCAAAGAGGTTTGTGAAAAAGAGTTTCATGCCAAGCCAAGAAAATAAAACATCAGTGGTTTGGCCATCCTTTCTATTTGAGGAGCTATAGGTTGCTGTTATGTAAGAAACACAATAGGACCATAAAGGAAGTTAAATTTCTATAACTTCTTTTAATGCATTCTGAGAACTTTCCATTACATGTTTTAGAAGGAATTTTTTTTTAAATTAGTGCAGGGTAGTTATACCTAATAGGCTCATTTTGACATATTCACAAACATGTATAACATAGTTTTTTTCCATTGCAATTCCCAGTACTATCCTCTTCCCTCTCTCCTCCCTCCCCTGATCCCCTTCCTCTACCCTATTAGTCTTCCTTCTATTTATTTATGTTTTAACTGTTGTGTTATAATTATATTTAAAATTGGAATGCATTGTGATATATTCATCCATGCACATAACACAATTTGGTCAACTTTATTCCCCAGTTCTCTTTGGCCTCCCCTACTCCCCTCCCTTCTTCCCTCCTTCCCCTCCCACCCCACTTCTGCTCTATTGCTATTCCTTGTATTTTCATGAGAGTCTCCCTACCTTTTTTTAAATTCCCTTTTTCTCTCCAGCTATATGAGAGAAAATATTTAACCCCTAACTTTCTGAGTTTGAAAGTTAGGGGTTAAATAGTGAAACTATTTCACTTAGTAAGATGTTCTGCAGTTCCATCCATTTACCAGCAAATGACAATTTCGTGTTTCTTTATAGCTGAGCAGAGTAGAACTCCATTTAGTATATGTACCACATTTTCTTAATCCATTTGCTTGTTGATAGACACCTAGGCTTTTTCCATTAACTTGGCTATTATGAATTGTGCTGCTATAAACATTGGTATGAAAGTATCACAATGGTGTGCTGATTTTAGTTCTTTTAAATAAATACCAAGTAGTGGAAATATTGGGTCATATACTGATTCCATTCCTAGTTTTTTTGAGCAATCCCCATACTGCTTTCCAAGGTGGTTGTACTAAACTGTTGTAATAAACCAAGAATAATGTCCCCCCACACCCTTGCCAGCAATTACCACCATTTGTATTCTTGATGATTGGCATTCTGACTGGGGTAAGATGAAACTTCAATGTAGTTTTGATTTGCATCTCTCTGATCGCTATGGATATTAACATTGTTTCATATATTTGTCGGTTATCTGTATTTTGTTTTTTTTTAAAAAATGTCCCTTTGGATCTTTCACCCATTTATTGAGTGGGTGATTAGATTTTTCGGTTTTAGGGTTTTTTTTTTTTTTTTTGGGTGATTTTCCCAGTTCTTTGTATACTCTGGTTATCAATGCCCTGATGGAAGACTAGCTGGCAAAGATTTTCTCCTACAGAGTTCTCTCTTCCTGCTCTTAATGGTTTCCTTTGCTATACTGAAACTTTTTAATTTATTTCTATTCTACTTATTGATTCCTGGTTTTATTTTTTGAGCTTTGGGAGTCTTATTAAGGAAATCAGTGCTTGCATGACTGTGTTAGAGTGTTGCCTTGCTATTTACTTCTAGCAGTTTCACTGTTTCTGGTCTAATTCCTAGGTTTTTGATCCACTTTGAGCTGATTTTTGTTCAGGGTGAGAAGCAGGGATCTAGTTTCATTCTCATACACATGGCTATCAAGTTTTCCTAGCACAATTTGTTTAAGAGGGTACCTTTTCTCCAATGTATGTCTTTGGGGTTATTTTTCTTTCTATCTAGTATTATCAATTAGAGAAGAGAACATGCCAATCAGGAGGGCAAGGGGAAACAATATCATGGACTTAATTGTAAGAAACAGGCTCTGCATATCACCCAAAGTAAATAATAAAAAATGTGAACCTTTATTTTTTGCAAGTACTTATTATACATAATAAATGTTTCTTACCATCAGGGAATAATATAGTGCGCCACATTTTAAAAATGATTTTTTCGGTTACCTGAAAACTCTGAAGTATTTTCTTTTTTGAACTTAAGTGAGACCTCTCCATTTCAACTATTTTGGATGATCATATTAAGTATATTGTATTCATCTCTGCCTTCTCAAACAGAAAAAAATGAATACATTAAATCTTCCTTTGATGACTCAGGATTATTATCATAAGCATTTATTAATGTGCTGTAACTTAGAGGTTATTAAGGAATTTAAGGCTATTTGTCTCTATTAAATAAACGGCTGGAACATCACAGATAAATTTGTTTCCTGCCTGGTAGCTATCTTTTCAAATCCTAAAATTGTCTTTCTGCTCTGCCCACCAATTTCTAATCTTGGGATAGATGATTTCTAAGGTCATTTCTAACCTTAGATTCTGTGATTGGGACCCTACCATGAAGTACAGAGAAATTCAATGTCTATCACTTTATTATAAACATTCACTGGTCCAGGTATTAGGTTCAAATTTTCTTCTTTAAAACCAGCTAGGCAGGCTTTGTGACACCTCCTTTCTCCCGTATAATTTAAAATCATTTAAAAAAATCATTCAGGATTACATAACTATATTCACAGCATCAAAAAGTCACACTGGATTTGAAACTCACCTATAAGGGTCTGGTCCGTGGCCTTGGGAAATCTACTTTCTTCATCAAGTAGGGAAAGTAAACCCATTGGCTTCTGCAGGAACATATCTAAGAGGGGCCGGTTATCTTCATATTCAATAACTCTAGCATCAACATCTTCGTTTAGGTATTCATTCTATTATAGGTGATGATATAAACAAAAATTCACTTAAAACTGTGTGAACAGTATGTAGCTTAATAATAGTAACCTAAAATTCTGCTGTATATGCATTATAATAAGTTGCTGCCTATGACATTGCCTTTAAACTGAGGGACTCATTCTCACTTTCTCTCCACCTAATTACTCGTTCCTTAAAATCCGCACTGATTATACTTGGGATAGTAATAAAAGGATTTCTAGTCTCTATCCTAGAATTACAGACATCTCTAGTTTTCATGTAGGATAGATAATACATGATTAATGAAAAGCGGCAAGAATCTGTTCCAAGATCTATAGAATATGAATAAGGTACTTTTCCCAGTGGATTTTTCAAGAACATTGACATAACTTTTTGGTCATGACTTGAACATTTACATTGTTAATATGGTGGACATCTGTTGGTCGTAGGATCAACCACAGGGTTTAGAATCAAGGACACACAGATTAACCCCTGGGTTCTGCCACTCAATTGTCTGAATAATCCTTCCAAATGTTCTTACTCTATAAGTTTCCCTCCTCTCATCTATTAAGTGGGGGTAATAATCCCTATCTCACAAATCAAAAGTATATGGTACATGACTAGCCGGTGAGTGCAAGGTGTGTGAAATAAAAGCAATGGACCAGACAATGACTGCAGGACAGCAACACAGGTGCTCATGATCTGATTTAACAAAGGGACACAAGCTGTAGAAACACAAGTGTGTTTCCATGACTGCCTTCACACCACACCCCTGTCCCAGTGCAGAAGTTTGTAAAAGAGAAGAGACATAGGTGGCCTCTGAGCTTTCACTCACTAGTGATGCTTCTGTGTAGGACAATCACTGGTTTTCAGGGATAAGGCAAACATTACTGCTAGGTAAGTATGGAGTATCTGCTGACGTGGGCAGGATGTCTTGCCCATGTTGAAATTACAGGTTATTTTCATGATTATTTTAAGACACTTTTAATTCATGAAATATATTCATCAGATACCTAATAACAATGCACTGTTACAAATGATAAGGAGATGTCTAAAACAAGCTCCCTGATTCAGCAGATTTAAAATATTTTGGGGCCCGGATGTAGTGGTACACACTTGTAATCTCAGTGGCACAGGAGGCTGAGACAGGAGGATCACAGGCTCAAAGCCAGCCTCAGCAATGATGAGGCACTGAGCAACTCAGTAGTCTCTAAATAAAATACAAAAATAGGGCTGGGGATGTGGCTCAGTGGTTGAGTGTCCCTGCTTTCAGGGTGATTTCACTCTTTGGGAGAGATGGAAAATAACAGACATGCATAAAATTCAGTGTTCCCCTGCCAAAAAATATTATTTGAGTGATAATTCAAGGCAACATGGTAGGTGGGCACTAGGACAATATACTCCAAGAGGTTAGAGAAAGAAATTTTATTTCTGACAACTTTGGAATTTAGTGAATGGCAGGTGAGGCATTTGGTAAGCTCAAACTTTTAAACATCATGATATGAGACTCATGAAACTAAAATCTTATTTTAAGGGTGCCACACACAAAATGTATTTTTGTTTTAAATTTTAATTTTTTTGTGGTGCTGGGAGGATTAAACCCAGGGCCTTGTACATACTGAGTTATGCCCTCAGGCCAGTGTATGTATTTTTAAAATAAAACAAAATACAATGCATAAAAGAAGGTTAACCCAGGGTCTGAAAAGTGGAGAAATGGAAAGACATTTAGTTTACTCAGTACAAGAAAATGAAAACAACGTCTTAGAGCTTCATGCCTTTTCAGTTGAAGGTAACCTTGGGAGAAGCCTGTAGCCCTAGAATTATTTTACTGTTAGACACATTTTGCTGACAGCATATAATAGCTTAAGTCACAACTGCAAAGTTCAAGAGATTTTTTGTGTGTTTTATACAGAAAGCACATGAGGTTAAGGTCTAAACTGATGCATTTGTCATTTCTATTTGCCTGTGTCAAAATCCATGGAATGCTTTTATGGCAGGTGAAACAGAACAGAGATGAGTAACTTGGTAAACAATGGACTCCCCTTAAAGACACTTGTTAGTATTATGGGTTCCAGGCAACCAATGGAGAAAAAAAATACTATTATTGTACTCAGGACTTAAAGAGTGCTTCTAGTAAAGTACTCCTAGTAAAATAATCATGCCTAAAATAATGTTACATATTTTATAGCAGTTTTGATAGCAAAAGGCCTAATTGTACATAGAAAAGCAAAACCCATATTTCCTCAAAAAGTCCTGCACATTAAAATTACACTTATAGCAGAAAATGAACAGAGTTATTATCTGCATTAATGATGGAGTATTTAGTCTACATAATTTCCACTCTGTTCAGATTGCCTGAATTCCCTTTTGAAAACGGGTGGGTGAATAATCATTTTAAATGCATATCAAGGAAGCAAGGGAAGTCAGAAGACTCGGAGGTTGCCAAATTGATACCTCAGTCAAGTTCTTGTGTTTTTCACTGAATTTTGATTATGAGCAATGAATGGACATTGTTACAAGAAAGCTCATAGCAGGTGCACCTCCATGGCTAAGGCATCCAAAAAAGATACACCTCCATAGCCACAGGGTCCACAGCAGGTACATTTCTGTGGCCATGGAGTCTTTGGCTGGGCCTAAACCACATTAAATACTTAGGGCTAAAATGTCATCCCAGGAGACATTCAAGATTTCTACACTGAGTTCTCAGGCTCACACAGAATCATGGAAGTGTGGCCCCACAATCTAAGAGAGGCTTTGAAATTCTACCTGCCTCCTAAGTCAGGTGCAAGTTTAAGCACAGATTCCTCATTGATGGGTAGCGCAATTAAATGTTAGCTGTCATCATTTTGGTCTCACCTCTTCAGAAAGACCTTCCCTCCATCTCTTAGAGCAATTGAGCAAACTGTCTTCCTCAGCTGGCCACACTTCAGCATCCTACCATGCTTTATATTTTTAACAGTATTTCTGGAATTTTATACATGTCTATTGTTTTCCATCTCTCCCACAAGAGTGAAATCACCCTGGAAGCAGGAACTTCATGTTACTCCCCTCTCTATCCAACACTAGGCTTGTTAAATAAATGACTAAGCCTTACAGATTGAATCCACCCCATCCCCAATTCATATGCTAAAAGCTCCCCATACTGATGTAATTGTATTTGGAGATAAAGAGTTTAAAGAGGTAAAGTTAAATGAACTCACTAGGGTAGGACCCCAGTCCAATTTGGTTCCCATAGAGGCACTAGAGATTCCAGTGTCAAGATGAAAGGCCCTGTGAGGACACAGAGAGAAGAAGGCCATGGCATCTTGGAGAGAGGACTCAGGGGAAACCCACTCTGACAACACCTTGATCTCAGACTTTCAGACTCCAGATCTGTGATAAAATTAATTTCTGTCGGTTAAAGCAGACTTTCTTGAAGTCTGTGGTACCTTGTTGTGGCCTCCATCACAAATAAATACGACAAACTTTCTGAATTCCTCTTGTAAAAGTTTAGAAAAGCAGATTTCCAGAGACAGGAAGATTGGGTGAAATCAACAAATTATGTGTGCATATGTATGTGTGTACGTGTAATTCTAATTGTAAATGTGACACACGTTCATGAAACATTTAAAATACAGAGAAATCACTGACATGTAATAAAAATTCAAGTATAATCCATCTCTTGTAGTTAATGCTTATTAACATTTGGTGGAATCTCATGCATAATTTTTTTAATAAAATAGAATTTCTACTATTAATTCAACATTATTTTTACTTTACCTCCTTGGAAAAAAGAAAAATGCTATAAGAATGTTCCTAAAATATTCTTTGAATGGTGATACAGTATGATATCTTGTAGTTTTCAATTCCATAAGGGGCCATTTTAGAGTACTTCTTTATTTTAAGTAGTGCTCTGAGGCTCATCTGTGTGTACCACGCTTTTCTGTATTTTGTAATTTAGGACAGATTAGTTGACTGAATGGTGGACGTGTTACAGATCCTAATATGCATTCAAAGGTTGACTTTTTTGAAAATCTGCAGCACTGTGCACTCTAATCAATACAATGTGAATCTCCCAACTTGCTGCATCCTCAGCAGCAATAACTGTTCTCATTAATAATTTCTTATCTGATATTTTTGATAGGCAAAATGATAATCTATTATTGTATTTGCATTTCTTTGATTATCATTTTATCTACAATGAGGGTTTGGGGAAAAATGGATACATGATTAGCACATATTATACACTTACTGCCTGCCAGTTATTATTAGATCCTTGATTCTCTTCTACTTTGCTTATTTTTTCATGAGAACAACCCTGGAGAGCTCTCAAAAGACCTGGATTTTGTTAGTAGTTTTGTTTTGCCAGCTTGTAACCTTGGGTAAATCATGGGGTAAGTTTTACTTGTGACATACAGATAACCCGTTTCAATTCCCTAGGTGTGAACATTTTACATTTGTTTTTCACTTTTTCTGTATGTATGTGTGTATATATATATATATATATATACACACACACACACACACACACACACACACACACAGTATATATAATTTTTAATAATGACAAATAAAATAACTAAGCATTTAAAAATAAAAATGAAGAAAATAAAGTATTAATAATCCATGTTATAAAATTCCAGACTTTTTTTTTAAAGAGAGAGAGAGAGAGAGAGAGAGAGAGGGAATTTCAATATCCATTCTTTATTTTTCGGCGGACACAACACCTCCGTCTGCATGTGGCGCTGAGGATCGAACCTGGACCGCACGCATGCCAGGCGAGCTCGCCACCACTTGAGCCACATCCCCAGCCCAAATTCCAGACTCTTGATGTAAAATAATATTTATAATTTAAAATCTCTTTCTTCCTGTATCAAAACTGATATCGATGATCCTATTAGTTATCATGTTAATGTTGATTGTGAGTCACAGGGTATGTTGTTCATCATTAATTTGAGGTGTCAATGGTCATTAACTTAGAATTTGACAAATAATCTAATAAGAAGGTATTTCAGGTAATTCCTAATAAAATGTCCAT